AGATATGTTTACAAACAAAAAGCACAGTAGGTGTTTTGATTTTCCGTTTGAATTGTTCCTTTAAAAACACAAACAAAAATCCTCTTAGATCATCAATTTCAGAACACTTAAGTTAAACTCAGTAGGATGAGCAGCTTATACAGGATTTCACTTATCTGACAAGCCAGGCCAGAGGTTCACAAATCCTCACGTCCTGCTGTCTGAAACACACATGAGCTGACTCCCATCAGCAGCAGCAGCAGCAGCACAATCAGGCTGCCACACACACTGGCTGCCAAAGGGCAAACACATTCATGTCACAAAGACTTTCAGGTTCTAGCTCCAGTAAACAGCTCTTCTGCTTTGAGTAGTAGAATAACTAGCGGTGGAGACAAGACGTTGCCATGGAGAAGCAGTGGGCACAGTCCCTGGCGACATAAAATACTTTATGCTGTTGTGTTTACCTGCGCTGCACTGACACGCACACCTTTGTTAGATTCGCCCTTGCAAAGGAAAGGTGAAATGGCAGCCAAAACCAGAAGGTGAAAATACAGGCTAGTCACTACATGTGGGTTCCGTTTGGCACAGTAAGAAGCCAATTAAGTCGACTCATTCATTCCATTTTAAGTGCCGAAAAAAAATCCGCCAAATGTTTTGCTAGGCGATTAATCCGAGAAAGAAAAATCTAAAAATGTGTTGGTCAAAGCTTCTCAAATGCAATCATTTTATGCTTTTGTTGCAGTACCAGATTATAAAAAAGGAGTATTCTAGGGTGTTTTTATTTAAAATGAAGGCGCCTTCAACTGTTTTATGGCATATTTATAAAAAAAAAACCCGATTAATCCATTAAATAACAAAATAGTCAAGTAAACATCAGACAACGTAACACATATAGGGTTTTCAGTAACCAAGGCTAAAAAGCGAAGTTTAATGTCATCACGAAACTCACTTCGTGATACTCTTCATAGGTCTTGCTCGTTTGCCATTGTCTGCACAACATAAAGAAAGGTTGCGTCTTGCAAAAACACTGTTAAATATTGCTAAACGATATTACTTGCGATAACCTGATATAAAAAGTGCACTTTCTGTGAATTCCAGCAAATTGCTAATTGAATTATAGAAATAAAAAATGAGATTATTCCCATCATTCTTTTACTCAAAAACGTTTTATTCTCTCACACAAACTAAACTACTGAATTGCCGAAATAATAACTTCTGCAAAGTTGTAATGACAGACATACCTGCATATTTTCACAGTGACAAGTAACACAATTCAGGAAGTCACTTAACATAAATGTTTGACCAATGGGCTGAGAGCCCTCATCCCTGATGAATACATGCCCTGGACTGAGTCTCTGTTACCATGGAAACTTGAGATTTAGGGGGAACAGAGGAGATGTGAGCCTTTTACAAATCATAAAAAAATAGTGTACAATGAATTGTGAGTGGTTGACAACACCACTATATTTTGCTGCACCTACACCCCAAGACATTAAACATACATTATGGCACTTTTTTCAGAATGCAGCCCATTGAAAATGCACTGACACAAGGGTGAACACATCTTATAGTTGTGAAATGTGACAGCACTTATTAGATTTGTAGGATTTTTACAGGAGTCCATTATCTGGGGAACAGTTAATGGACTCCAGTTTAAATCCCGAATACAAAATGTTTTAGTACTTTGCACTATTGTAATGTAAATTACCCAATGTCTATACTTTAGTATATTTCCATTTGAGTATTGTGAATATGTATACATTTGCTGTTAATATTATTTGTTATTATTTATGTATTTATTTTATCTTTAACTCACGTGCAATGCTTCACAACACTGCTGCTGTGAAAAAAATTATTTCCCAATTAGGGATGAAGAAAAGTATCAATCTTTTCTCTACCATTATGTCTCTATTTTATAATGCCAAATTATACCTCTTCTGTAAAATTTACCAGAATTAAACAATGCAATGATTACTGCCCAAAACTTTGTTCCTTATCATAACTCTTTACATTATATTACCTGCAAAAAAACAAGTTGCATACATACTTTCACCTAATAACTACCCTGCTACTGTAGATTCTATATTTCTGCAAAAAATGTCAAATTGAAAACCACTTACTGAGTGTCTTGATTGTGGAAACATCATGTCAATTCCTTGTTGTAGCTCTCCTTCCCAAACACCAATCAACTGAGTGCGTTGTGTTTATATTTCTCCTTGCGTTGGTCCTTTGTCCAAAGCTAGCCCTGCCTGCCTCGCACAGGAGCTGTCCAGCGTTAGCAAAGGATGCTAACGGTAGCTAGCGACCCCCCTAAAAAAATAATTAAGCCGAATATAAGTAATTCACGTCGAAGTAAAAGAGTCCTTGTCTGGTTGGTGCTAGACCATTCAGTTGCACTTGTCCCAACACCGTGTTTAATGTGTCAGACAACAGGAACCGTACCAGCAGATTTTAGCTAAAGCTAGCTAATTCTTCAAAAGCTGTCAGTCAAAATGATCCATCGCAGTTGAAAGCTTTCCGCGTTTAACGCTCGAGCGGCAGCGACAACGCGTGTAAATATAAAAAAAACGTTACGCAAACCGTTTATGGCTTTAAGCTAGGGAAACACGGAGGATAACGGTGTCTTCCTTTTTCTTGTGGCGGTCCTTCAAAGCTGCTCAGGTCTCTTGTTTTCAGCTACGACTGTGCTGATGAAAAAGTAAAGAGGAGGAGTAGAAAAAAAACGGTCTAATTCTCAGAAATAACAAAATGTCTGCGGGTTCGTTTAAGTTGAACCGTCCAACGGCTACAAAGAAGTCGTGCGAGTGGTGGAAAATGGAAATCAGTGTCGTCGTAAAGACTGTTAATTAACTTTAAATTAAAACGACACAAAGCTGGAGATAAACTCAGAACGTTTATCCGTGGAGAGTCGTGGAGGAACGAGTGGATTCTTCAGTGGTGGTGAAGCTACAAAGTCAGTCCATTCCTGGAGCTGGTGGGTAGAGCTGAGAACGCCCCACACAGAACCTCCTCGGATAGATCGGCGGGGGGCCGCGGATCTACACGCCGCAGATCTAGCTCCTCAGCCGGCTGATGTCTGGGCAAATAGCGCCTCATGTGGACAAGTCCCCGCAGCGTCACTGCCTGATGATTTAATAATAACAATAATAATAATAATAATACTTTCAAGTTTCATGGCTTTTATTGTCATGTGTGCATAGCTGTAGTGTAGTTATGACAATTAAAATATTAGGCCACAGGCTCCTCCAACAGTGCAACACAATAAAACAGATAAAATAGCACAAGTAAATAAAATATAATATAATATAAATAGAATATTATAGATAATAATAAAATATTATAGACACTGTGCAGAATAGTCTACAGTAATTGGAATATTAATATATATATATATAGTGAGTTGCAAACAGATGAATGTTATGTATGTTCTTTCAAAAGGTCAGGTGTTTAACAGTCGTATGGCCTGTGGGATGAAACTACTACTACTAATAATACTACTAATGTTAATACTACTAATAATGATATATAATAAATACAAATAAGGACTACATATGTCCACGAAAAAACCCAGGAAGTACACATCAAATCCCTCTATTTCTACATATCTCTATCTATTCACATTTTAATATATTCTCCCATATTCATATTTATTCAGGATTTCATGTATAATTGAAAATCAGAAAGACTGAATTGGTACTTTATCGTTACAGTTGCTCCATTTTATAACAACAAAACATTAAAGTTGGAGAGAAGTAAAAGTAACTGATGTACTTCAATAAACTGTATAATACATCTATATTACAATAAAGTAGTACATTTTATTATATTAAAGCTGAAAATGGTTCATATGGTTAAGTCCTTACCGAAAAGTATTATTAAGATACACAATATTGCATGACAAAATGCAGTTGAAGCTCAGTCCATAATGCTACACACTAAAAATATTAAATTAATATTAATTACAAATATTATTCCATCGTTATAACTTTTGCTATCAGTTCATTGCACCTTATACTAGGCCTATATATTATACCTCATACTAGTATAACATCGCATACTATGTGAAGATGTTATACTGTCTTACCTCATAAAAAAAAAAAAAGTTTCTATTTTTGCTAGATCAATACAGATTAGTATCATATTCATAACTAAATCAGTTTTATTCTGGCACATATAGACTGGCTGCTTTAAATTCAACATGTATCCTTATTTCCTAACTTTGCCCTTATAACTACTGTGAAGGAAATAACATTTTTATACTTTAATACTCTGATATACACTTTTTCTAATAGTTGCAACTTACATTTTATTTAAAAAGTTTGAATAATTATTATTATTTCCCCTCACCAGGTCTTCTAACATTTCACAAATAAAACGTGTCCGCCATAATGGTTAAATAAAAATATTTTTTTTAAAAGCGTCGATATAAATAATTGTTTAACACCTTAGTTGTTTAACCCTTAGATGCATGAGTGACTGGACCCTACACTCTTCCATAAGTGGGTCAAAAAGGACCCGTATTAGAATAAGTGTTTTTATGCCATTTTTGTTAAGAAAAATCACTTGTATAATATTTAGTATTATATTTTGGTTCACACTAGAAATATATTATTTTTCACCATTTATAAATTTGACATTTTGAAAAAACACTTATTCCCATAGGATTCCATTGAAAACGCATGCGGGTAATTTTTGACCCACTCATGGAAGCTTGGGCTGGTAATACAAAAACTACAATTTCCAAAAATGTAAATAATAAATTTGAATGGCATGATATCCAAAACATGTTTTTTGAGGAATAGCTGGAATATGAAATGATAAAAAAAACGTAATTACAAAGATACTTCCACCTCACCGGGTCCAAAAAGACCCACTTATGCATCTAAGGGTTTTAAGAGAAGAAATACTAAACCATTGGATTATATTATTTTCGGTATCAGACTTGAATAGTTTGAAAGTGGTATTATCCTTTAATCACAACACAAACAGAATGCAAATAATAAGGTACAAGGATGCAATAAGAGAGTATAGGAACATATTTTATTCCAATTTAAAACATTTAAAGGAGAAGGCTATGAAAATCATTTTCATGTTTGAATGAGGTTCAGGCAACAGTGGTTGAAATGAAACATACAAAAGAGAAATATGGCTAAAATACTGTAAATCAATAACCATTAAGACCCTTTTTCATGAGGGCGTTGCATGAATACAGTATCTCACCCCCCCCCCAACCTGACAAACACATGCAGTAAAATGACATTTATCTTAAAAACAGCAGTTCATCATTAATCTTAAATATAGAATAAAATTGTCCTTTTTTTTGTTTGTTAATTAATCACATGTGTTTATTTGTTTTAAAAACTGGACCATGAAATTCACCGGCCCTTTGATTTTTCACAACATTGGCACTTGTCAAGAGTCTGGCTTTACAAAGAAAGGGGATTGGCACACTCATTGTACATAATTTACATTTGGTATACTTAAAAAAAAGAAAAGAGAAAGAAGAAAAAAAAACAAATCAAACAAAAACACATTACTTTCAATTTGTACACCACTACACAAAGTTTATGTTTTACTCTTTTAAAAAAGTCTGTCATCTTAAGTGGTCCTAAATACACGTGTTAAGGTGCGTCGACCTCACAAAAGAAACAAAAAGATGCAAAGATAGCTTTTTAATATCACCGTATGTCCATCCCTCGAATCAGAATGGATCTCAAGCTTAAGCAATAGCCATCAAAAGTGTACACATACATACACACGCACACACGCACACACACACACACACACACACCTCGGAGTACCAACGAGTGCTTTAACGGACGTCTAAGTTGCATGAATGCAGCGGTGCAGCTTCAGTGCCTTCGACCCGGGGAAAGATACACAGTCCAATAAAGTAAATCGGGGAAAGAGAGCGGAGAATGGCGGACATGTAAACACAGTATTCATTCTACCGATTACAACCACCAACATATTACATAATGGTCATTTCAGTACCTTCACATGGCAAGTCTTTCAATAAATACAGTAATACTGAGGCTTAACACACAAGCTTCATTTGGAAAAGAAAAGACACCAAAAGGTAAAAGTGAATTAGGAATATTTCGCATCTTTTCTGTGTCGGATGTTGTTTGGCACTCTGTGTACTACTTACATTTCATAAAAACCTTCTAAATAACACAACCGGGATGCAACTAGAGATCATTTTTATTTTCCTCGATTAATCAATTAGTTGTTTTGTTTTTTAAATGTCAGAAAAGGGCGAAAAATGTTTCCTGATGCCTGCGATTACCTCCTCAAATGTTTTGCTTTATCCACAACTCAAACAAATTCAAATGTTACATCATAGAGAAGTAAATAAATCACAAGATGTTAACATTTAAGATTTTTTGTGTAAAAAAACAACTCCAACAGACTCCTCAATTATCAAAATAGTTGTCTAGTTGCTAAATAGTTGCCAAATAATGATTAAAGTTTGCTGAATTAATGCAGATTAAAGCAAATCAGTGGAAGTCAATGGAAAGGATTTCAAATTAACGACCCAGCTCTGCTCGTATCACTGGTCGAGTAAAAATGTGACGTTTGTCTTTGTCTGTCCTTAAGGTTATTAAAACTGATGCAACAAAGTTTTTTTTAAAAAGAGTACGACATCCTGCCAACACTGGTCTTCGTAGTGGTCACCTTCACTTTGTTAATCGCTCTCATAGCAGTCCATACACACACACACACACACACACACACACACACACACACACACACACACACACACACACACACACACACACACACACACACACACACACACACACACACACCTTTCCAAACTCAGCTGGTTTAATCCACTGACAAACATGCACAAGCTCTTCATTTCAAACAATAGTGACACCCACAGGATGACTGTCAGCGAGGAAGTGTACGAAGCGTCAACCTGGACTAGAAGGCGTTTAAATGTCGGCTGAAGCACCGAAGATTAACCCACTACAAATACAAGATGGAAAAACAAGATCTCATCAGAAATTCACGTCAAAGTCAGAAACCTCTCCAACATCTTTTTCAACTCATAGAATGGCACTTAGCATAAACATCCCTTCTTCATTAATGTGTGTTAGAAAGATTTAACAACATCATTTACACATGTGCACCAGAGAAGATCACTCTCACTGGGTGCACGGGACTACAAATCCTAAGCAATACACAGGGCGAGTGAATGTCTCTAGAACTTTTCAGATCATACTACCTTTTTGTTGAAAATACGATTTATATTAATTTGTAAACCTTTTGGCAAACAATTAAAGATACAGAGAGGGGGTACGGATGGATCTGTAATCCAAAAAAAAACACTGCCCTTCAACCAATGCGAAACACTACAAATTAGAAGACATGCCACATAGTGGACAAATATTAGAAAGCCAAGAAAATCAGCACATAATCCATGTAAGTGTAAGAGGATGGTTAGATTCGGCATGACGCTATAAAATGTGCTGTTGCACCTTGGGAAACCCTACTTCTTCTCCTCTAGATAGGCCTGAAGATAGCAAATAAAGGACTGCTGCACCCCCCCCCCCCCCACACTCTCCTTCAATGAACCTGAACACACTTGATTTAAAGCCCCTCGTTAATTAATGAATGAATTGCACCTTTTGCTCTATGCCGTCCATAAGAGTCCTTTCATTTCTACCAAAGCTGCTAGTAGTAGCCCTTGTGATGAAAAAGTTATGAAAACTTACCTGAATTACATCGTGAAGACAAAAAATAGCCATCTAACAGCTTAATGGAAATATTAGAACAACGACCAGGCAAGAGACACAACATGGGATTGGAACCAATAAGCCAAAACACATATCCGTAAGAATTACCAAAAAACAAAGCAAGCATCTTCGACAGTAAATATCCAACCACTACGTTTTTAATCTTTCTTTTTCCTATTTGCATAAAGCACAAGCCCGACATGGAAACAGTGTTTTCTTTTCCCCATTGTCAAGCGTTTCAAAACAGAACTGCAACAACTGAATATATGAAGTATCGTTATAAAGATAGAACACTTGTCCATAAAATCGTTTTTTTTACAGCAGTATAAAATCTCCTCCCGTCTCCTTGGTTGGAAAAAGCTGAAACTAGGGAGGAAGTCTCACTGACTGTACCGACAACACTTAGATCTGATAAATTAGACGTACAAAAAAAAGAACTATTTACTCTCTTGCTATCCGTTATCAAATGTTGGCTGAATAATATGGCAAAAGAAAGAGTTGATTAGGGAGAAAAAGCATTATCAAGACCAACTGGTGATTTAAGCTAAGTGTCAGCGCGTTGTCTCCTCGACAACAGACTATTGCACTGCTCCAATCTGGTGTCATCACTCGCTCGTTGTGCACAGGAAGATTATTCTCACCTTCAAAAAAGGGAACATAGAAAATAAATTACAGTACTAATACATTTGTGATTCAGACAACAGTCGACGTAAAAAAATGCCACACAAAGTGAGCCGTTATGCCATCTACATATTCATTATTCAAGCACTTCATTTTGGCAATACCAGTTTCCAAATTGTGTTAGCATCTGAGCCGCGTAAAGGACGAACGGGATACTGGCAAATATATTTACAGAAACAAAAGGAGGTGTTTGTAATTTGTCAATGTGATGATGATATACAGTATGTGAAAACCAGTAGTGTTGTCTCTTAATTCTGTGTGTCGTAATGCATGTTTGAAACGAGGGGAATGGAGTATCTCTTCGAGTAGTCATCTTCAATTTAAATGTAATTGCAGAAAAAGCAGATATATGATCGCTAAGAAGAAGCTGAAAAAGTGTACAGAGAATCGTCTCTGTGCAGCCCTCACTCTGTGTGAGCAGCATGACAACTTTATTTACATTCAACAGAGCTTCTGTGCTCTGATTTGGGGCGAAAAGGAAAGAAAACAAGACCCGGGAAAAGCAAGTACCTCACTGCACCCCCGCACTGCGTGAGAATATATTCCTATCATCGTAATTAGTTACCCGGGGTCTGCAGCCGGCCCTCCTCTGTAGTGTATAACATGCACGGGTTAAATAAGAACAAGGGGAGAGAGCCCTTTTCCCATCAAATCTACCCAGAGAAGCCTCGACCCACCTGCAACACACGAGCACTGGTGATAATGTAGTGTAAAAGAAATAGTGTGAGCCGTGTCCAGGGAAACCCCTAGAAAAGGGGACGAATGGGAGAGTTGTATTTGGGTTTTGTAAAAGCGGAACCACAACACAGATACAAAAATGTGAAAGTAAGGACAGGACATGTGTAGTGTTGGTCTGCTAAGAGTGAAGTGTGTTTCATGCAGATGTGTGTGTCTGTAGAAGTGGACTCTGCATTGTGTATGTGGGGGGAGGGGGGGCTGCAGGTCACTCTCTCTCCTCTCTCTCCTCCCTCTCTTTCGCTCTCCTTCTCTCCTCACACCAGGTTGTATTCTTTGAGGTTGAGCTGCAGGATGGTGTCTTTGACGGCGGCGAAGACGAAGCGGATGTTCTCCGTGTCGGTGGCGCAGGTGAAGTGGGAGTAGATGATCTTGTCGCTGTCGGGGTTCAAGTCCACAAACATCTTCAGGATGAACTCCCGGCCCGCCTGGGCGTCCCGCTGAGGACCTGGAGGAGGAGACAGGGCATTATTTTTAGCTTCTAGTGAGCGGCACGTCAGCGTAATAAGATAAGATACAACTTTATTAATCCTGAAGGAAATGCAGGTGTCAGAGCAGCAACAGCAATACAAGTGAAACACAGGAGAGGACAGAGAGGAGTAAATATAACAACAATAGGATTTATTCATTTAGAATATATTATAAAGTCACTTTAACAGAACTAGCCTTAGCCACATCATTAATATGTTAGAGGTCCAGTTATAGGCGACAGTTTGCCTGCTCTACTTCACAGTGTTAAGATCGTAAACATTTTCTCTGTCTTTGTCGACAACAAACTCTCCCTTACCCCTGTACTGTGGACCTTTGCACATTCCTCTGACAATTTTGCACATTTCTAAACAATGCTTCCAAGTCTAATCAGATATACTGGACATATTTTTCACAGTAACTTACCAATTATTTGTGTATTTTCTAAAAATTGTAAATGTTTTGTTTATTTTAGGTCACATTCACACCAGCCTTGTTTAGTCCGGTTGAATCGAACTCTGGTGCGTTTAGCCGCTCGGTGCGGTTCGTTTGGGTCGGTGTGAACACAGTCCGAGACCTCTGAAGTGAACTAAACAACCGGTCTCTGGTCCGCTAAAATAGGTGGTCTCGGACCGCTTGCTAGTGAACTCTGGAGCGGTTCATCACTGGTGTGAACGCAGTCCGCACCAAAACACAGGAAGCGTAGTATTTACGTCACAAAAACGCGGGTGTCTTCAGAAAAAATTAAAAACATCTAATTATATAATCATATGCGCGGTCTGCTAGAGTCCATTGATATGCTCTCCAGATTAACCGCAGCATGAAAATAACCTGCCGATGCTCCATGGCGGAGGCTCCGGTAGAAATTTTATTACATTACATTGCATTTANGTCAGTTCCTCTCAGTGGCGCATATTGTCTGTAAACGTTATACAACCATTCAAAAATTGAATCAAACCCAGGTAAGGTGCAGGTGCATCAGGGGAGATCTAACCCAGGGTAGGGGGTGCAGGTGCATCAGTGGAGTCTACCCAGGTAGGTGCAGGTGCATCAGTGAGATCCTACCCAGGTAAGTGCGTGCCATCCAGTGGATCTACCCCAGGTAGGTGCAGTGGCCATCAGTGAGATCTCCCCAGGTAAAAAAAGGTGCAGGTGATCATGAGATCTACCGGTAGGCTGCAGGTGCATCAAGTGAGATCTACCCCCAAGGTAGGTGCAGGTGCCATCAGTGATTCTACCCAGGGTAGTGCCAGGTTGCATCAGTGAAGTTCTACCCAGGTAAGGTGCGGTTGGCCATCAGGTTGAGTTCTACCCAGGCAGGTGCCAGGTGCATCAGTGAGATCTACCCAGGTAGGTGCAGGTGCATCAGTGAAGTCCTACCCCAGGTAGTGCAGGTGCCATCCATGAGACTAACCCAGGTAGGTGAGGTGCAATCAGTGGAGGTTTTTTTTCTACCCCAGGTAGGTTGCAGGTGCCATTCAGTGAGTTACTACCCCAGGTAGGTCCAGGTGCATCAGTGAGATCTACCCAGGTAGGTGCAGGTGCATCAGTGGATCTAACCCAGGTAGGCTGCAGCGTGCATCAGTGGATCTTACCCAGGTACGGTGCCAGGTGCCGTCAGTGGGGAGATCAATGAGAAAACGGAACCCTTATAATCATTAGGGAATTTTTAAATGGAATGTTCAAAAGAAGACCTAATTATTAATATGTGCCTGTTTATGATTTTCAGCATGAGGCGTCTCCTGTCCCTCTACCCACCACAAAATACACATAAATAATATCAAAGATCCATGTTTGATGTGCGTGTGTGGCATCTCCTGTCCACGGCAAATGGATCAAAACAACTCTCTCTCCAACCTCCAGCTCAGCCAAACCTTCTCCGGTTGCCACAAATCAAACCGGGCATGCCCTGCTGAGGCCTTATTTAAAAGAGAACCCCCAAGACTATAAATAAATGTAATTTTAATGAAACCAGCTGCCAACGGTCGTGATGGGTCCAGTCAGGGTGAGCCGTGAAAACCTGCGCCATCACTCGTGATACCTCCTGTGAAATAAACAGTGATAGATCTACAGGTGTCTGAATATAGCCCGGATAGTTGTTAAGTCCATTGTCACGGATAGCGATCCGTATTCTGTGCCCCATAAGAGACATGTAATCCTTAAAAACATCTCCATATTCTTTATTAGTAACACACTACTGTTGATTCTTTCCGTAGGTGCAAGCTACAGGCACCGTCGGCTATGATTGCTTCAATCAGAAATGCCGCGCCGGCCCTCAAACGCCACCGATTTTGCCATCACTCATCCTCGACGATCATCTTAATCGACTCAGATGGTGAGACGAAATGAAAATGAGGGAGTCAATGTAGAATCAGGGTTGAGAAAGCTAATGTGTCATTATATCACACAAGTCCGACAGATGTAGCGTTTCATTTCAGACGGCCTACCCGTGCGGATCCGTGATCCGCACGGGCAATTGTGGCCCCTGCTGTAAAGGTTAATACTGTATATTAGGTAGTGTCTAGTAGTACTGATACAGATCACACATTGAATAAAACAAATGTTTTTTTTTGAAACCAGTCTGAATGAAACGGCAGCTCTCAGGTGATCAGGTGTGTGTTTACCAGTGTTTGGGACTAACGTGTTACAAACTAACGCACACAACTACCTTTTGCGGTAACTAATAACGTTACTAGTTACACTATTCCCATTCAGTAACGCCGTTATAGTTACTGTGATTTAAATGGGTGCGTTACTGCGTTACATTATGTGATTCCAACTGAACCGATCTCCCTGCGGATGTAATTTACAGGCGAATACAGCGATGTCCTCTCACAGTACCATGAAGTGAAAGTGACCAGAGGAGGAGTGATGATTGGTTAACGCGGGTTAACATTTCAGCGTAAGCCAATCAGAGACAGAGTTGGGCGGGTCTTGCCTTATGGGGAAAATACATAGACACACAAACACTTGCTAAGGCTAACACACACACATACGGCAACGCCCACCACCAGCACACACACACTATGGCAGATGCAAGTATCAGCGAGAGCAGCAGCGCATTTACAACTTGGAGATGTAACCACTATTTTCAATTTGTGGGGATAAAGGACGCACAAAATATTATGGTCAAATGTAAGCTGTGAGCAGGACAGAAAGCATTGTCCACATTGAATAACAGCAATGCCGATCTCCTGAAGTCACCAAAGAACCCACCGTCTCAACCACCGGCAGCGACCCAGATGGAGCAACACCATCTAAACAGCCAAAAAACGATTTTTTAAAATCGCCACATGTCACCCAGAGTCAACTAAACAGATTGATTGCTGAAAATAGTTTGTTTGCCTTCAGTGTCAGTCTGACCGTTTATTATTGATCTAATTGTTACTGCCAAAAGAGTGTAGTTCTTGTTTAATTGTTACACTGCCAAAATAGTGTAGTTGTCTGTTACACTGTGGTGATTGACATTATTCACCCACGGATCTATGGGTTGGGGTATTGTTCTGCACGGACATTTTAATAAACCGGACTTCCTGTTTCCGCCGGTCTTCGCCCCGGGCATGAAGTTGTTTACAATGATTTTCAGATGCTAAATAAAAGTCTAGCTTGTACCTTTGATACCCCGCCTCCGACTCCCATCTCTCGGCACCACAACACTGCCAAAAGAGTGTAGTTGTTTTTATTTCATATTGCACTACTTAGAAGTTGATTGTTGAGGCCACTATAAAGATGCCTGCTTTATTGTTATTGCACAGATTACAGGTACTGAGACATCGAAATGCAGTTTAGCTTCTAACGGTGCAACAAGCAGTAAAGTGAAAAGTAATGTACACAATCTACAGAATAAAATAGAATTAATTGAATGATGAATAAACAGTGAGGGGTATGAATACACTAGATATACACAGCAGCCTGTGAGCAGTATTAACAGTGTGTATGAATACGCTAAGATATATAAAGTATGAAAACGGTAAGCAGTGCAAGTATAGTATAAAATATATGGATATTCATTTCATGATAAACATTGTGGAACAATGATGAAAAATGTGAATGGAAGTGGCGACGTAAAACTGACACAAAACAACAACAAACTTTTGCCGAGACAATGGAGAGTTTAATCAGCAGCACGGGGTAAAAACCACCAATGAGCGCTCAGCTCGAGATAACAGCGAGTCGAGGGAGAGAATGATATCTGCAATTTCTCTTTTGAGAAGCCCCCACCCCCCATGTTGCCTATGCTGCTGTATGTTGCAACTTTTAGTCGATGAAAAATTAAATTTTAGTCAAATTTTAGTCAAAATGTGTCTCTATACTCTCTGAACGCTCCGTCCCCGGCAGATATCTGTGTCCGCTGCAACATGTCTGTTAGGCTCCGCTCCCCGCACACAGAGAGACACAGGGAGATCGCTTTTCTGGAGTGAAGAGAGCGGAAATAATGATATTGCAAGTTAGAAACGTAAGATGCATTTTGACAGACAAGATGGATACTTGGGGGAAAATATACTGCATTTTGAATGTCCGATAGTGCACCATTAACACCTTAGTCCCGTCTCGTCTCGTCAACTAAATATACATTTCGTCATAGTTTTCGTTATCAAGAATCTATTTTTAGCTCATCATCGTCTCGTCTTAGTCATGTAAAAAAGGTCGTTGACGAACATTTTTCGTCATAGTTTTCGTTGACGAAATTAACACTGATCCAAACGTCCGTGACTAAAATCCTTCATCCGGTTAAATATAGTTAAAAAAAACGCAATATATACCGCAGGGGAAAAAAATATATCGCAATGTCATTTTTTTTTAATATCGTGCAGCCCTAATTCATACATAACGCCCCTTTCCACTCTACAACCAACCAAACAGAGTCTCCTTAATATGCTGCTCTATCTAACCGGCCAGATCTCTCTCTATGCTTTGCTTGCTGCTGATATCGCTGCAGCTACTTCCATGTCGCTGCTGCTTGCCTGCCCCACCACCACAGCTTCCACCCCAGCTTCCACCCCAGCTTCCACCTGTAGGCTCTGGGGGTTAGTTATTTAATCATCACTCATCGTGTTATGTATATCTGTGGAGTGATGAGGCCCGGGCCTAGACGCCAAACTCAATTATATGCTGCTTCTAATAAACATATTAAAGAAACATGTGAGTTGTCTGACTGAAATGTGATAAAGTACATCTGATTTAAGAGAAGATTGAAAGCAGAAAGAATCTGGTTTTACCATCGAACTCAGGGAAGTAGTCGACCAGGTGCGAGTACATGATCTTCTCCTCCAGCAGGTCCTTCTTGTTGAGGAAGAGGATGACGGAGGAGTTTTGGAACCACGGATATGTGATGATGGTCCTGAACAGAGCTTTACTCTCCTCCATACGATTCTGACAGGGGACAGGGAGGGTGGGGAGGAGAGGGAAAATAAACAAAAGGTTAGGAGACACTCAGAACACAAGACTGCTTCAGTTCCAGAGTTTCACTTCAAGCTCATCTTGGCTAAAAGAATTGATAATGATAGCTTCATGTTATCTATGCAAATTATATAAATTAGAGTAACGTTCTTAATTCAATGAATCTCTAACTGTCCCTTTATTGTATGTTATCTCTTATTTGGCAAATATTTTTACCCAAACCATGACTATGAGGAGCTGAGGAGGAAGTTGACGATCATAAGTATAAAACTGTTTCTAAACAAAGAGACTTAAATGTTGTAATCGGAGGATTTTTTTTTATCAAAGTGCTTTTAAAACACTAAACATTTGGTTGCTAATAGTAACGCATTTATGCTGTATGTCATCCAGTTGAGTGCAGCATTCACGGTGAATACAGGGTTTTTTGTAGTAACGGATGAGTAACACCAAAAATTGTCAAAACTAAGACTTATTCCCCCAAAGCAAACTGTCTAGCAATCCTAAAAAAGTGGATCTGGAAGCCTCCTTATGTAAACTACTTAAAGACGAGAGCTGCTGTCTTCTTTCTCTTTCTGAACTGCTGTCGCTGCCAGCATCACTCCCACAGTTTAGTCTCGGCGAGTCTTAATATGATCCTGACCCGATGAAATCACAGATGTTTGAAAACAATCTCGTCAGGCTCGGACTGCTCTCAAGGGTCAAAGCCTCGCCTGTCAACGCGACCGGATAATCTGAGCAGACAGTGACGCCTGAACGCAGCACAGCCTTCGTCTCAGCTCTCTAACATTCAGGAACGGAGCTCAGTTACAGCACCAGTGTGACACAGTGGTGCAGGAATGAGTCCTAAAGCCCTCAAATGAGCACTTCCCTTTACTCGAAGACAATGGTTCTTTGGATATTTGTTTTTTCTGTTAGAAGACATAAAAAAAGGTCTGCTGTTAACACAATCCTCATTTTCAGGTTCATATTTGTATTTTGTGCTTCTACTGTTTACATACTTTAATGTTCAAAAAGCTCTTTATTGTTCTCATACTGCCTGTGCTGTTCACCCTCTGTCTGAAACCAGAGCCCAGTCTGCTCTGATTGGTTAGCTGGCCAGCTCTGTTGTGATTAGTCAACCACTAAGAGATTTCCCACCTCTAGCTTATCGTGTATAATGTGTTGAAACGCTAGCCGATAGAAGCCGGTTACAAAGTGAGTCCAATCAAGACCAACAAAAAGCCTCTTAAGAGATGTTTATGTGTTGTTCTTCAGCATAACGTGTCAGTAAATTACACACTTGTGAAGCTACATGTAATACAAAAATGGCAGTTGCTATGAAGTAGCGAAAGGACACTACTTAACGTCAACACTGTGACATTGGTCTGTTTAGCTTAGCAGTGGTGACAAAGTCATGTACCCTGCTGTAGTTTTTGATGGTCTAACATTACCTTTTTGTATTGCATTTGAACATCTTAAAGTTGGTGTTAATATTTGGAGATTATCCTGCTGAATAAAACAATAAGTATCATAGATATTTGTTTGTCTCAATTTCTGCAATAATCCAAAATCCAACGAAAAATCCCATTGGCTTTTTGTCGAGCTCCATGCAGTCCTTTATTACAAGCATCAAAAGCAGATAACGCAGCGACCGGCGAAAATGAAAACATATTTCTGTGCCTGTGTGTACAATAAGGCCTCACGCCTGCGCAGGCCCAGTGCAGATAAAGTACAGTTTGTGTGCATTAACACACTGTTATCAGAGTGGACAAACATTGAGGCGGTGTATAGAGAGCGGCTGGCAGCTGGGTCCGGATTATGAGATGCAGCCGTCATATGACCGGGTCGGAGAAAGGGTTTGTTGTGAGGAGCGGAGGGCAAGCAGGGGCCGAGCACATTAGCTTTATTAGCCGTAATTCTCTCTGAGGGAACACACATGGACAAACTACATATCTGTGGAGTAAAGACATAGAAGGCCTTTCTGTTTTTTCTGAGGGACTAAGAGGAAATTGCCTTTACAATTTAATTGTCCCATGTCATGCTTTTCTGGTTATTACCCGTCCCCTTGTGTGTTATGTAGCTTTTTCCGCATGTAAACGGTCTGCAGAGTCACAAACCCTCAAAGTCCACCCTGTAGCGAGTAAAACTCTAACACAGAAAAGACCTGTCTATGCTGCCCCGGAACGCCTCGTTGGGAATTTCTCTTTTTCCATTGTTTACTTCTTGGGTATAGCGGGTATAGTGACGTAACGTCCGCGGAGCCATTACGTTTGGACCAATCCACGGACACACACACCATGTATACATCACTTCAGGGGACATTACATTGAATTACATGCATTTCCTGGAGACTTATCCTAACCTTAACCAACACATGCCTAACCCTAATCCTAACCAAGTCTTCACCCTAAAATGTATGATTCCCCTCATGGGGACCTCCAATTTGTCCCCATAAGGGAAGCGAGTCCCCACACGTGACTGTGTAAACAGATTTAGGTCCCCACAAGTATAGTAATGCTAGGACACACACACACACACACACACACACACACACACACACACACACACACACACACACACACACACACACACACACACACACACACACACACACTTCCAGCCAGGCTGCGGGTGTGTTTCATGCTGTGTCTCACTGTCTCGCATGGTTGTTACATACCACACTGTTCGATGTGCTTTTGCAATACTGGGTTTTTTTATATGGTCATGCCAATAAAGCTTCTTTAACATGTCACTTAAAAGCTGGGAACAGTACATTGACGTATAATGAGCTTAGAAAATGGATATGGTGAACTTGATAGCAAACTGTTGCTTATTTAAAAATCTATTTAGACAGCAAAGATTAGCCTTCATTTGAAGTCGTGTTTCTGGCCACCTTCAGAGTAAGTATTTAACCCTGATTAACCTGCATGTTTACTTCTCTTGTAAGTTTCTATCTTTATGCTCTATTGCACTTAATGTAGGTAGTTTCAAGTTTGTACTTTGTTGGTCGAACGCACTTATTGTAAGTCGCTTTGGATAAAAGAGTCAGCTAAATGCAATGTAATGTAGTTTGGATAAAAGTGCAGCTAATTGTAATGTGACTCATAAAAAGAATATGCATATTGGCTGGTTTATCCCCAGGAGCCAAAAAATGCAAAAAATTGGCGATAAGCACTTTTTACATTGCCAGTAGACAAGAATGCCTGTTGCTATTTACACTACTGGTCTTTTTCTGGTGCGTCGCATCAGCTAAAACAGACACGCTAAACAGTTTTATGAGTTTTATTTAGTTTCTTACAAGCTTGAATAAAAAAAGTGTTTTGCAACGATCAGCAAGGTTAGATTACTGTTTCTGTGAATGGAGTCTTTCAATCAAGCCCGAGTTGTCAAAAAATAATAATGCATTCCTAAATTCATGTTGATTTTATGCTTATTGCACGAAAGAAAATGGTGCAAAAAACTAATAAAAGTTACATAGTAGATGATTTAGGCCATATCAACAAGTAATGTTTAGACTGGTTTGTTTATTTTTAGAATGTATGTTAAGGAAATTCTTTAAGTGAATCTACCTAAGTGTAGTTGATATAATGAAACACAGATTTTTATGTTCTCACAAACACAAAACAAACCCGGAACTGAGATTTGGAGAATTGTCGGACCCCTCAAAGTGTGGTAACATTTTGTGAATTCACTCAAACCATTTGTAAACAATAACTCTTTCTACGTGTGTCTCACCTCGTTGTCGGACTCCACCAGGACTTGGTCGTACTCGCTGAGCGCCACCAGAAACATGATGGAGGTGACGTTCTCAAAGCAGTGAATCCACTTCCTCCTCTCTGACCTCTGACCCCCCACATCAACCATCCTGATGAGGACATGAAGAGAGGCAAGGCCACCAGACAAGGGGCAGAAAGAATCAAAGGAAAGAGACAATTAGCTCTGAAACTATACATCTCTAGATCTGTATTGTTTAAACTCAGGATCACAGTAGTAGCACATATGTAAGCATGCATTTCAAAAACAGAATCCCAGGATCCAAAGACAGACATTTTTAAGTTAAAACTAATTCTCAGTGCATTAAAGAGGCATTTATCTTCCAAAGCTTGGTATCCAGTGATGGCCAATCATACGTTTCAAGGCCAGCGTGGTCTAACAATTACTGCTGCTTTCACATTATAATGAGACTAGCATAGTTCAAGACAAACGCATCTTTTTGCACAGAGAATATTTAAAACAGAAGAATGAAGAACAGCGCGTGTGTGTGTGCGTGCGTGCGTGCGTGTGTGTGTGTAAACAATGCCATCTTCCCTCTTTTCTCTGCAGTGTGTGAGCAGGAGAGTTCAAGCAAGAGATGGTAAGTGATAAGAAATACGCTCTGGTTTAGAAGTGCATGTAAAAAGGTGCTCAATGTGAGGGATATGAGGGAATATGAGAGGAGCAACGGATAGACATCGGGGGAGTGGTTGAAGGAAAAAACGGAATATTTAAGATTAGGAAAAATCAAGGTGAAAAAATACAAAAATAGAGGAAAATGAAACATGAGCTTGTAAGCCTTGATTAATCGGTTTTATTGTAAAAGTAGGAGACACAGAGCGATGCACCACAACACAGACTATCTCACCCCTTGCTGGTAAATACCAACAAACTATATGCAATATATAAATGCCGTTAATAACCGTGTAATATATACCTGGTTGCTAAATCCTTAGAACTGTTACAAGGTGTGTATTTTGTAAATTGTGTAACTTGCTGTTAAATACCAACCACCTATGTGCAATATGTGCTAGATGTGCTAGATGTGCAATATATATAGATGCCGTTAATAACTATAATACATACCTGGCTGCTAAATCCTAAGAACTGTTACAGGATGTGTATTTTTTTGAAATTATGTAACTTTATTATTATATTTTTTATTATGTCATAACTTAGTACTTTTTTTGAACGCATGTCACATTTAACATACTACATTAAGCTGTTGCTCTTTTTCCTGCTGTAACTATGCACATTTCCGCTCCGTGGGACTAATAAAGGGATTCTGATTCAGATTCTTGGACAAACTAGTTTTAATGTCAACATCATTTTTTGTTTGAGGCTTTTAGTGCTAAAAATGCTGCTAGACATAACATTTAATAAAAGGCGCGGGGAGAGAAACTAATAAATAAAAAGTGAATAAATCACAAGTTAAGTTTTGAGTCTCTATTCCAGAAAGATTCACCCAGTTTTATTAAAAAAGCAAGACAGAAAAAACATTTAAGGAAGTCCAGCACAAGAGCCATCCTTAAAAAGAAACTTCTTCACATCAGACAACCTCCTGTTTCTTTTTCTATAGCGAGAATAAGTGACTTATTTTGTACGATAAGCTCCACTACGCTGAAGTGAAATGACATTTTCTGTGACTTCAAAAGCCAATTAAAAGAGGAGGAAGCAGGCCTAAAGGCGATGGTGTATGAAAGGCAGCCTTGTTGCAGCTCTGTAAACTGCACACAGAGGAAGCATAACGCCACATGTTGTTTCTATACACCAGTCTCAGCCGGAGGGAATCCTGCATCAAGTATCTTCCCTGTTTAATAACAGGAATACCACATAAATCACTACTAGAACCAGAACAAAGATTCCCACTTATTGCTAGTAATAAAAGTAGCAATATTTAAACAAATGATAACTATACAAACTCAAAATGGAAGGATCTTGTGAATTAAATATATGAAATGGAAAAAATTAGACATTTTGTTCATATCTTTGACGAAAGATGGGGAAAATGCTTTTTGAATTCAACTCGGAACATTAGTGAGTGTTCATTTTAAGAGCTAACTCAAGACCCACCGTTTTAGTTTTAAGTAATTTGATAGTCGTGTTTTATTTGGTCCTCTGTTTGGAGACATTGAGTTATGTTGCTATAAAGCGTTTTATTTATTTGTATGCGTTGCTATGACTTTGGATTGGGAGGAGGGTTGGCATGGTTTTGAGAAGCACATTGTGTTACATTGAAATTGTGCTTTATAAACAAAGTGTGATTGATTGGTAACTAATTATCCTCTGGTTAGATTTGACGATTAAGGTTTCTATGAAAACACATGATGTTTCTGGTTTTACACCCTATCGATTAATGTTCATCACGAACTATAACTTATCTGGTTTGTTTACCCAGTAACAACATCATTTTGGAAAGACATATTGAAAAAGAAAATCATTAAACTAGGACTTTTTCAATTGGTAATGTACTTCAACACTTATATGTTCACTCACACACATTTGTACCTTGGATGTTTACTTACTGGATTTTTATTTCATTTCTGTGATATTTCCTCTTTATTTAATATTAATTACTAATTTAATCTGCACCGTCCCTTTGCTGTAACACTGTTAAATTCCCTGCTGTGGGACGGATAAAGGATTTCTAACATTCCTTCCCACTTCATATTTGTATTTCCAGTCCCTTCACACAGAGTTGAAGTCATGCAGTGGTTGCAGTGATTCACCGTCAGCACCCCTATCAGCAGCTGGGAGCCTCTTCAGCCTCTGAGCACAGTTATTTCCAGCTTTGCGAGGCGTGGGAGGGGGCTGACACGATGGCTTCCTATCAATTTGCGCTCTTCTGTGATCGCTGTTGTTCCCCGGGTCCGAAACTATCTCCTCACCTCCTCTCTTTTTTTGCAAAAGGAGGAAGGGAAGCTACTCTACGTTTTGGTGGCGGGATTTAAGACAAGTCCTAAAGCTGTAGCTTCACTACACAGGGTATATGCAGGAATCCTGAAGTTAAATGTAACACCTTTTAAGACCCTTTCCATACATTTTAAGACCTCATCGCCACTTCGAGTTATAACCGGTTACCTTGACGACACACTTCACCTCACATTGACTATATACAGTATTGATTGTCCTTCCTCCTTATCTTCCAACCATTTGGACGCAGACTTGCATTTCCCCATAACGATGTTGTTTAACAACCGGAGTAAACGGAGCTTTGCGCGATATCAAGCAGTGAGCGTGCGATGTCCTGTTCAGATGACGTCCAATCCAACGGGATGCCAGAAATAAACTACACAGAATCACACTCAGGGTTCCTGCAGGTTTCGCCAACTCAAATTTAAGACTTTTTAAGACTACTTTGAATAGAATTTAAGACCTATTTCACGGCAAGAAAGTATGAAGGAAAATTGCTATGAAAGAAGAAATATGTCCCATAATTACTTACAAAGTAAATTAATTCATGTTCAACATAAGAACATAACAGTACACAGAACTGTGTTAGCGTGTTGGACAAAAAGTGTGTGTGTGTGTGTCTGCGCCGGAAGATGTGTAAGCTTTCTGTGATAGATTGATTGGAGCACAAACTACTTTGTCACAAAACAA